AGGAGAAAACCACACCCCCACCAACACTGGCAGGGCAAGCTAGAATTTATAAAAAAGGGGCAAAACCCACACCCACCAGCACTGAAGATGTTACCTAGTTGGGTAATGAAACATCTGCAAGAAAACAACCAAGCTCAGACAACACCAAGGACTCAAGAATGGCCATTGTACAGTTGCAGTCAAGCCAACATATGTGCCTTCCCCAAATGGACAGCCTCTATGGATTCTAGGAGATGTCTTCCTAAAACAATATTTTTCTGTCTTTGATATAGCCAGCATGAGGGTGGGATTTGCACCATCAGCTTAAACAGAATAAAATCCATTTAATTCCCAAAGTAGTAATGCCAATTCTAATTGATTCCAGTTCTTAATTATGTTGGCACAACAATTTCTATTTCTCAACAATTTCTCTATCAGAGCTAAATTCTCCTATCAGTTTATCAACATTCAGAATGGTTTTTAGTTTTTTGAGTTGAAAGAATCTTGAAAAATAGTCATCCCATTTTTTGAATGGTGAAACAGTACTTGCCTGGATTTATTAGTTTATAAGGAAGTCCCTGAAAAAATATGGATTTAAAAAGATGTTTTGAAATGTAGAACATTTACTGTATAAATTGAAGCAAACAATATATCACCCCTGAAATGTGAAGAATAGTTACTCTAATAAGGAAAAAAATGGACTACATCTGCACCATTAATTGTTTGTTGTTTTCCTAGTATTCTTTAATACCTTTCCACCTTGCATATTTGTTATTTGTAGATACTATTAAAATAAGGTACAGTAATATTTGCAAGAAGATCCACAAGAATCTACACATCTACATATCTATGATTTAATGCTCATTTTTTTCTCCTCCTATTGTTATATGTAGAAGAAGCTGTCCACAAAACATTGTGTTTCCAGCAAGATCACCAATTTCTCAAAGGCAAAACTCTGCCTTGATAGTAGGATAGCTACTAAGCAAACAGTATTCTATCCTGAAGGATTTTCTTAGGATTTAACTAAAGTGTTGGAAGCCAAAGAGGCTACAGGAGAAATTATGTACAATGTAAGACACAAACCTTTTGGCCACCTTATAACTACATAAATACAAAAATACCACATTGACTTGGATTTGAGTCTAGGTGTGCTGGGCATATAGCATTTCTCAAAGTATTTATTTTATTTGTTGCCTTCCAATTTTATTAAAGAGATTATTATACCATAGTCCTCATGTCTGGAAGTCAGTTCATACCTAGTGTGATATTCAGGGTATAACAGTTTAAGATTAACATAGTATGAGGTTTTGTGCATGTTGTGCATAATCAGAGCATTCAAACTAGATTTCACTCTGTGCACTGATCCCACATGTTCAACAAAACTGACATCCTTAGGAAAGATAATTTTTTTGAATGGATAGGATCAGATTACAAGCCTGAATACTATTGCATGCCATAGACTCTCTGTGCAATTTTAGGTTGGGCAATGGCTTCATTCATTCATTCATTCATTCATTCATTCATTCATTCATTCGTTTGTTCGTTCGTTCATTCACTCATTCATTGCAATTTCCTAAAAAGAGTAAAACTGTAAATAATAAATTAAACAATATAAACAACAAATTAAGATGCCACAGAACAAAAGCAAATTATAGCCAACAGCATAAGGAAGTTAAAATAAGTCAATGGCAGAGCACTTCTGCTGAGAAAACTTCATGGACAGATTCACCAGAAGTTGAGTTCTGCCTGAGGGCATCTTTATTTTAAAACCAATAGTATATGAAAGCAACAATATATGAGAAAGTGTAAACACATTTTAAAAAGTGAAATGTGTTGAAAGGGCTACAGAAAGACAAGTCTTTCTGGTAAAGATATTCAAAAACTAAGTGTTACTACAGAAAGAGTACTCTCTCTAGAAGTTATCTGCCTCACATCATTTATCTGAAGAACAACTTTATAAGATGGAGAGCTAGGGAGATACATACAGAATATGATCTATATGTACAAGGCCACTCTTGGGCAGGTTTGTATGGCAAAAGTTTCCAAAACATTTTCATCCCTAGTTATTTAAAGATTTGGGGTTATCTGTTCTTGGATTTAGTTAAGTGATGGTAAGCAATATGATTTGTTGTTAATGTAGCCTAAGATCAGGATCATTAACAATAAACTTGTTCACTGGCTTCCCACTAGTACATAACTGACACACTGTACTGATTAGTTTTTATCTTAAATATTTTATACTGCTCTTCATTATATCAGGTTTCAGAGAACTGTATTATGTGTATACAGTGTAACTAATACAGTTATATATTGGTTAAATATTAATAGGTAAGAAATCCATAACATACAAATGAAAAGTTTGGAGGTCACAGTGGAGATTGGGGAGTTGAATCAGCATAAACTTGACTCAATAACTATGATTCACTCTATATTAAGAGAGTAGGTTTAGTTCCACAATACTGAGTCACTTTATAGAATTCCAGGGGTTAGATAATCTGCAAGGTGAAGTCTGTACATGGCCCTAATCTTACTTTCAAAAGTGGTCTGCAAGAAATTAGTTCAGATCCCTGGGAAGAACAATCTGTTCCGGTGGTGGTGATGGTGGTAGTGGTGAGATAGATAGATGATAGATAGATAGATAGATAGATAGATAGATAGATAGATAGATAGATAGATAGATAGATAAAAAAAGAGGGGAAAGAATTTAAAAAGGAAGTCCTACCAAAATTTGTCTCTGTTCATACTGTGTCAGCTTTATGCATGCCTGCTGTAGCATCTGCTCCCACCTTGACATCTCAGCAGAACCAAGTTTCTTATTCCTGGGTTAGGTGGAAGGATTTTGAGTCATGTGTAACAGTGATTTCAGGCAAAATTAAACCCTAACTAAAGATGTAAAAGAATTCCTCACAGATTCTGTTGAGCATTCTGCTCCCAATGTTCTTTACATTGGTATGAACACTAACCTCAAATAAAGTTCACTAATGTTTGCCTTTTCTCAAAAGTCTGCAAAAAATTAAAATTAAAATTAAAGTAAACAAATCCATATCTGAAAAGAAGATATGCAATGGTTCCATATAAATAGGGGCAGTGCTTACTCTGGAGAAATAACATTTAAAAAGATCACATTTAAGATATTTCTATGTCAAAGAATGCAGGCAAAGTAATTTGCATTTTAGAAAAGGTATATACATAAATACCTTTCAAACTATTCCATAGAAGAAGAAATGTGAGATGTAGTGGACAAAAGAAATTAAAGACAAAAGAAAAGCATAAAGAAAATCTAAATAAATCTAGTTTACACCAACACCTTTCTCTATACTGTACCTTTAAAATTTTTCTGTCTTTGCAAACCAGTCCTTAATTCTACCATATCCATACACTTATTCATACATTGCCTTCACCTCTTTTTTCGAGGATCTCATCAACTCCATCTAACCACAACTTTCTCAGCCTTTTCCTTTTTTTGCCTTCATATATTTGTTTTCTGATTTCATCTTCATTTATTTTTTCTGGATGACCAAACTTCACTGTACTTCTTTGATACTGGTAACTCACTTTTGTATTCAATCCATTTAATCCATTACATATTCATTCCTAACTCTATCTTTTTGGTTTCATTCATTCATTCATTCATTCATTTTTCAAATTTGGACACCACCCATCTCATGAGGAGTGTATACGCTTTTTTAAAATGACTGATTCTCATTGCAATCAACTTATTTTTTTGTTTGTTTCTGCTGACATATCCAACCTTCATTTCTCATTACTGCTTTCTCTGAATCAATAAATGGGCAAGAAACTTTCTGTCTCACATTCATACATTTCTCAGTAACTTGATGGAAAGCAAAAATTGGGTCTACAAATCTTCTGATCAACATAAAGCTGCAGTGCAACTCCCAAATTTTACTCCTTGACACCTCTCAAATCCTTTGGTACAGAATTCTGTGAAATGTCTCTCAGGCATACATATCAACCAAATTCTCCTATAGATTTTGCATCTGTTCATTCCTTATGTATAGGGCAACAATAATGGCATTCTTCCAGTTGTCAGGCAAGCATGTTGTCTTACATACTTAACATACATAGTGTTAATATACATAATTAAGCAAGTTGCACAGTCACTCCA